GACCGGAAAGAGTCCGCATTAACCTCAGTGCTGAAAAATCACCTTGTCTGTCTGTTCTGTTGGGCTGCTGAAGCCAGCAGAGCTATTCTCGTAGTCGGAAAATAAATGTAAATGTGGCTCTGTGTTATTTATGCTGTTGTTATTTCTGAAAAACATATGCATGACCTTTAAAACCAATCGGTGAAACAGCTAACTGGTAAACTACAGCTAACAAAGGTCAGTTGGGGGCTGTGACACAAGCATATATTTCTCCTGCTTCTTTAAGGCATGCATATCAGTGCAGGAAGCCAATGGTTTGCATTCTGAAAACTGGCCTAAAGAGCTACACTGGTTTCTGTATATTAATGTCAGGCTCTTACTTTGCTTTGTTGACCCGAAAACAACCAACCAGGAAGCAAATGTTGTTGTTTTTTTTGATGGAAACACGTTTGTCTGCCCCCACATAAGAAGAATATCTGCAGGGTTAACACTTCCACTACACTCTGTTGGAGTGGATGGAAAGTGGGCTTCACATTAATGCTAATGTTGAAAACAAATTCAAATCCTGCTCTGCTTTAAGTACAGTGAACGCTGTGGCAGGGGCCATATGGCCAGCAGATGGACACGTTCATTGTGTATTCCACAATGGGGGCAGGATACAAATGGAGTTCTTGGGGTTTCCGGAAGGAAAGAGAGGATGCAATGTGTACATAACACAGTAAGCATTAGCATTAGTGTCGGCACTAATGTTGAGATTTAGCGCAGCTTCTTGGCCTCTGTCACTGTTGAGTTAGCCTGTCGTTTTCTATCCTTTCCACGGAGTTCAGAAGGTCACAACACAAATTTGCTTGCAGTGCCCAACGATGCAGTGTTGTGGCTTCGCTGTGTGTGGGATGGACGGTGGGTGTGAGTGAGAGAGAGGGAGGGAGGGAGAGAGTTTGCACTGCATAATGGCTTGGCTGATGTATTTTTTAGCTCTCAAATGGGATATATTTCCATCCCGTCGTCTGCTGTGTTCTTGATTAAATGAAGCGTGGATTGGCTTGCCTCTCCGGATAGACAGCGAGGAGCTTGTGTGGAACGCGGTGGGAAGGGGAGAAAAGACAAAGGCAACAAGTCGACTTTGTTGTGGATTCACTGATGCTGGATCAGAGCAGGAGCGGCGAGCAAAATTTTTTGATGATGAAAGCTGCGTTTCGCGATTCTACCTTAATGGTCGCGTGTGAATTACATGATGAAATTCTCGTCTGTTCGGCTACATATGGAAATGAATTTTGATACACTCTAAGGGGCTTTTTTTTTTATTATCGAAGCCCAGGAAAGGCAGACTAGGGTGCTGTCTTTGTGCATCCACGGGTAATACGTCTGGTATTGATAATCCGACAGTGTTTTCAGGACACTGTGGGGAAATTTAGAGACGCTTTGAGGATGTCACGTGGAAAATGAAGATGTATAATTTTAAACGACAAAGAGCCGGTTCTTGTTGACTCAGGGAGGGCAATTTGCCTGCATTTTCTAAACCCGTAGGTCTTGATAGTCAATTTGCTGGCATTAAGCTAAGGGGTTTCAATTTTACATTCCAGCAATACGGCGAGTCCTCCCCTCTTCCTTCCTCTTCATATCTCATTCTCCCCTCTATTCGTCCTCACAGCTTGACATTTTCTCTCTTGTTGTCTCCCCTTATTTTCCAATTTCTCCCTCGAAACTCAGCCCGCGGTGGCACGTTTGAGGCATTAATTGAATAATTAATTCCTCTCATTAGCTTGTTTTTAATTATTTCCTTGCCCCCTTCTCCACGCTGAGTATAAACTCATCAGCTGTTTTCATCCTTCCACACAAATTGCCCATGAAAACTGAGGGTTGGTGGAGTGTAGCTTTAGCACACTGGCTCTATCAGTGGCTCCTAATGAGGGGACGGATAGTCCAGGCGGAACAAGCCTAACACTGGCTTCGTGCACCAACAGGCACAATACTAATTTAGCTCATTTAGTGTCCTTGGGCCAATTAAAGGGAGGTGAAAAGGTCCGGATCGCTAGCTGGAACTGTTTTCTCTGTAGGAGCTCCGGCCTTGGATTGCACAGGCCTTAGACAGCAGCAAACCCGAGCCTGTGTGTCTGATTGCTCGTTTGTTTGCAGTGTGTTGCACTAATGGAATTTATTTACCCTACATTCACCAGATTTGGCTCCTTTGAAGGGCCTTATTATTTGTGACACAGATTCCTCCCCAGCAGAGGGGGTAAATGGTGCTAAAGACGGCTATGCATGGTCTATTTTTGTGCCCCTTAATAAATTATGCCAGTGCTGAGTAGGCAATCTAGGTTCTATCATTGCCCTGATGATATAATGAAAGAGATACACAGAAGCCTTAAAATAGGTCAGTTCTGGTTCAGTGATCCAAAGCCCACTGACAAAAATGACCATCAAGTTCTGGCATCCACTCGATCTCCTCGATCATTTTGTTCATGTATAAATGTAATTTAAGTTCACGTCAACCTCACACTCAGTGTATGTCTTTTCTTTGCCCTACTGCTACATTTTTATTGATTTCTGTTTTTACTTTTTTTTTTTATGTTTGTTTGTTTGTTTTTACGTCCTTTGTTTGCTGACTGGGCCTCGTGTTGCATGCTTGTTGTCACGTCCCAGTATGAATGTAGCCAGACAGTCAGCAGAACCATGGGCATCCGAGTCAACAAAGGTAAAGTTAACCCACTTACCTGCAACCACCTGTCCTCCCCCATCATCTCCCAAAGACAGCCTGCCACATTGCTCACCCACATCCAGACACAATTTTTTACAATTCCACAGTCCAAATGAGGAGGGGTGGGCTCTGAGTGGCAGAGAGTGGGCCTCATCCACCAACACTGTAGTAGAGGCTTCTAGAGATGTAGTTCTATGTTTGCATCCTTTTTCTAGTATCTCCCACTGGATCCACTGTCCTTTGCTTTGTTACGCTTCTAGCATTTTTTTTTCCTCCTCTTGTAGCTCGCCTAAAACTTTAAGCGGATGGCAAAAAAAAATAAAAAATCTGATTTCGCTGACTGTCACCCCCTTTATCCAGCGGTAGACAGCGTATACGGGGGTCTTGTGGTGCTTGTGGGCTCTATTTCCCCCTGCTGTATCTGCAAAAAACTGTAATGGAAAGCACTTCTATGAACCCCCGTGATGCCTTTTTAAAAGCAGCAGTGGAGCACTGCAGGTGAGTTGTTTAAATGGTCGGTATTGCGCAGGTGTGATATCACTTAATGAAAATCCATATCGTGGGTACAACTGTGACCGGCGATGGCGCACCAACTGCGATTTAAGAGGTTAATTATTGAATCATGTTTGGTGCTTTGACTGCTTATCGGGCAGAAATATAAAAAGCACTCATTATGGTTGGTTGAAGCAGAAAACAAGTCGTCATTTCAGCCTTCGCAGATGGCCGCTAATGTTTGTGCGATCACTCAACCTCTTTGGCTTTTGATACAGTGTAAAGAAAGTTTTTAGCACATGCTGCATATATTTGGACATATTAGCCCCCCCAAAAAAGAGTGTGCCATTAGGAAAAGCTGAGAGAAAGAAGCAAGAAAAATAGTGCTCCATTTGCTTTGTCACTGCTTCTTAGTCGTGGAGAAAATGTTGTGCATCTTTCTTATACCGACACCAAACAAGTAAAGTTTGTCTGCCTGTTTTTTTTTTTTCCCTGCACACACTCCAAACACTTGCACAAACAGGCCCTCTGCAGCTTTCTTATGAATACAAAAAAAATGAAACGAGGACTATAAACTGACAATTGGGTGTTTCAAAATACGCCCACTCGTAATAACCTGAAAAACACCACAGCGCAAGCTCCACTCGATACGTTCAATAATAACCGCTGCAGGGAATCAATCTGGGGGCCAGTTCTGAGGCAGACTGGGATTTAGACAGTACAAAATGACACGAAGTCCCCACCCCAATCCCACCACGACATGAACACACACACACACACTCAGCTGTATGATCCATCTGCGCAGTCAATAAAACCACAGAGAGAACTGCAACTCCACACACACTATTGGATTTAAATTAGTTTTTCCTACTGGTGTTGCTGGACTCATCACTGGCTCCCACTCTGACCCGTCCACTGGGAAACACCTGTTACTTTGCAACAACAGTTGAAAAAAAGAAAAAAAAATAGACCACCCATGGAGAAGCAAGCCACCACAAGTAGCAGTTTGCTTTAAAAAAGAAAAAAGATGAGAACATAAAAAAACAAAAAAACACTGCAGAGGCACAGCAGGGGAGGTTTGGTTTATGTGTTTAAGCCAGAGGCAGAACATACAAAGTCAGCAATGTCCACTTTATAGCCCAACTACTTTATGTGTTGCGTTCACACATAGGGTATAAAATCAACCATGCAGATGGTGTACATACTGTAGCGTTTCCATGCACTAATAACCAGATTAGCAATCCGCTTTTTCGACATTATTTAGAAAACACGAAAGCCTCTAGCACCGCACAGCAGAGCCATCGCCAGGACTCGTAGAATTGAGATTACCTTCCGCCCACGTCGCCGTCCGATTCTTTCATCCCTTCTTGTAGTGGTACTTTTCCATCACTCTTGCATCTTCAGTTTCCCCTCTAAGCTGTGACAGGTCAGGATGTTGAAAATACAGGGTGTTCCAACAGCCTGTCTGCACAGCCCCCGCTGACATTGACCACCGTCCGCACTGTTTCTGTTCATGTGCACATGTTGTTTGTGAGTGTTATATCTTGTATTATTTATTTATTTTTTATTTTTTTCTGGTGAGGGGGAGCTGAGAGATGGGAGACAGAGTGAGAGAAGGGGGTAAGGTGTAAGCACAAAAAAGCAACAACTGCCCTGCTCACCTGACCAAAGGTGTGGGGAGCAGTGGTGTTGTTTCGGGGCAGAGTTGTCAGTGACTGTGATCCTCCCTCCACCCCCCCACCCACCACCCCTCCACCCTTCTTCTCTCTCTTCCTGTCTCTCTCTTTGTCACCCCCCTCCTCGTCCTCTCCCTCCCATTTCATCACCACAGAGGGAAAAGCGATGGAGCATTTCGTCTGCCGGAGGTGAAAAGAACTCGTCGAGTGTAAGTAGAGGGGGTTTCTGGCAAAGGGAGAGAGAGAGGAAGGGGATGAGATGGGGGGGAGTCAAGGCAGAGATGGCGAAAGGGAACGGATAGACATGCAGTAGCAGCACAATCGCGTTAGCCTAGTCTCCCAGGGATAAAGTTGGGCTTAACTGCAGCATTACCCACACTCCTGCATTACAAAATGTTCCTTCGCCAGCATTTAGCATGCAAATTGGCTCCCAGATTATGCCTTTTGTATTCATTTTACCAACTGTCAGGCTGTGACGCAGGGAGAATGATAATCAGGCAGATATTGCCCCCTAGCGCTTGGGCAACGATCATCACACGCTGCAAGAAGGAGGTGGGCGAGGGAGGGGAGTAGCAGCGCTGTGCTGCTGCAGATCAATGAGTTGCGTGTGTGTCAGATGAAGAGATAAGGACAAGGGGCCGAGGGTGTGAATAACTCAAAGTGAGTTACATGTGAGAATTTTTAAAGGGAGTTGCTGCAATGAAGCAAAAAGGTGGGATGGCGGGGAAACAAAGGAAGCCGAAGGAGTTGGAAAAAGCACACAGCTGAGAAAGTATTAGTAAGCACTTTTGCTATTTTCATTGAATCTGCTCTCAAGATGCGCTGAAAATCCCGTGAATATTCATCATCTGAATGTTTATTTAGAATTATGAATATCCGGCTCCATGTAGTCGAAAATAAAATACAAAACTCTGCAGCAGCTGGGTTCATTGTGTCCGTGGAAAAAGCCACAAGTAGTCTGTCTTGTGTTCTTTTTTTTTTTATGTCTTTGTATGGTTTGCTCCACCAAGAGTCATCCGGGCTGGCGAACCCTCGTGTCTTTTCCCCGCTTTTATCTGTGAAATCATCCTGTGAGATCTCTGCGAGATAACGAGTCCAATTTGAATAATGGCCCTTATCTCATGCATAATGCCACCTCTAATTCCACTTTGCTAATCCCCAAACATGTATTTTACATGCATGGTGGGCACATCTGCGGACCACATGCCGCGATCACAGAACCCGAGCCGAGAAGGTTTCGCGCTTTTATCAGCTAATTTAATAGGTAGCTGATCGGGAGAGATGGAGAGATAAAGGAGAGGACAGGTGTCATTCCTGGAAATAAAAAAAAAATAGAAGTAGGTTTTTTCTTTTTTTTGATAATACAAAGCAGGAAAGGTGCTTTGAACTGCAGGTATGTATTGTACTGCTTTTTTTTGTTTGTTTGTTTGTGAGGTTAAGATATATCTGTGAGTGACTGGCTTCTCTGCGTGTATCCTTACATTTGCAAAGGTTAGAGACATAAAATCTAATGCAGCCTCTGTGAGCGCAAATTGCAATGTATCCATCTCCAAATCTGCGCGCTGGATAAAGTAATGATTAAAGTAATGACTAGGAAGTCCAACATGGAAAGAGCCACCAGCAGTCAGAAGACCACACAGGTGGTAAACAGTTCAGTATAATTATCTAAATCTCTTTGATGGTAATGCCAGAAGTGAGTGTGCCCTCGTGTTGGTAATGATCATCTATTTCACAGGAAACTGTGTGCGCACAGCCACGGTGAGTATAGAAGGTCAAAACTGCAGCAGAAAAAGGCACTAATGGGCCCCAGGACAAACACGAACAGCACATTTAAAACTGTACACTCTGCATGTAAGCGTAAAATCAACTAGTTGCACTTTGATATTTTGGGAAATATGCTCAACGCGCTGTTTGTGAAATGAAACCAAGCTTCCTGGAGCGTTGGCTGGTGCCCTGCTACAAAAAGAGCCTGACATACAAACCTCTAATAAACCAGCTGTCAGTTTTTGTGGCGATTACGCAAGCGAGATTTTGTGATCTTTGTAGGTTTTAAATGAAATGGTTGGTGGATTTTTTTTTTTCTTACTGTCAGACTGGCTGATATTTATTAACCTTGTCCTACCTTCTAAGTAGTCTAAGGCCCAGTCCACATGTACACATGCATTTTTTTTAAAAGAGATTTTTTTCCTCCTTCCTTCCCACAAAAATTCCACATGAAAATGTAAAAACAAAATCAAAGCAGTATAAAGAGCATGCCAAAATAACAGACGGTGATATCACCCGGACCCTAAAGACATATTTACAAATCAGAAGCCTGAAATTAAGCTATTACTGGTGCTGGCAGGCCACCAACAATGGTGCGCTGAGGAAGGGGGAGCATCAGATAGATCAGTGGAAGAGTAAGCGCACATTCATGTGTAAGACGTCCTGTTAGCAAAGTTGGCAACAGCGCTGTTTTGGTCATGTTCGCCATTGCACAGTGTAAACAAAGGAGATGATGGCACATGTTCTGACTCTGACTAGCACAATTTTTCGATGCCTACACGTCAACCCTTCAGATAGAGGTTCTGAAAATCTTTACCCTGGAAGAGGTTTTCCAAAGGCTCCAATTTCAGTGATTAAAACTTTGTTTGCATGTGGAGAAAAGGCCAAAACAGGTAGAAAAGAAAAACACTTGTGTACGTGTGGGCAGGACCCAACTGTCTACGAGACATTTTTTTTCTGAAATGTTGAACTAGTCCTTTAAAATCCCAAAAACAACACAGGAAACAGGAACTTCAGATAATTGTGCAACAAGTTTCTGACTTGGTGATTTGAAACGCTGCCTGAGCTTCTGCTACCATGTTCGCAAACACGACCCAGCTTGTACGAAACAAGGATTTACCTTGAAGACTTTTTTCCATACTCCATGTGGCACCATCATTTTGCAGACACATTTTCCTAACATGGTTGTTTTCCTCTTTGTCCTCCCTCCATCAGGACAAGTCAACCCCGGAGGACCAGAGCTCCTGGGACAGCTTCAAGACCATGACCCCCGAGCTGTCCATTGTGCCTGGGGAGCAGAAGGACCGGATGGAGCTGCACAATAAGAACTGGGACTCCTCCTCAGCCAACACACCCGACTCGTCCGAGGGAGATTTCCAGACTGAAGTGTGAAGACACGCAGACACACTCAGTCGAACACACACAGATGCACACAGAGATACTGGACTCCTTAAAAGCTATACATAGGTACATGATTTTTCCCGCAAAGGATCTCACACACACACACACACACACACACACACACACTGCTCCCCCTCCATCTCCTGCAATGTGCTCTGTCGGATCCCATACTGTATTTGTTTACTGCTGCAGCGGACAGACATGGAAAGAAGACTGTTCTACTCTATATTTTCGCAAAGAGGCTATTGAAAAGAAAGAACAGGGGCTTGACACGTCTGTGACTGAAGAAAATTTTTAAATGAACTTTAAAAGAAAAAGAAAAAAAACTATGAAAAACTTATTTCTGAGAAAAATGTCTTGATTTTATTCTGGAGAAAAAAAAAAAAAAGGAAATGTCTTTCAATTGTTTGACTTGGGGGAGGGAGGTGGGGGAGTGGGTGGGCGGGCGGGAGAAAAAGAAGAATATTTCTGCACCGTTCAGTTCTTTTTATAGCAAAGGGGAAAAGATCTCACTGAGGTTTCTCACACTGGTAGCCCCCCTAGGCACCCTGCTTTCATTTATTTCCTTTTCCCTTCTAATGGATGACGAAAGCAGTCAGTCTTTTCCTTTACGTTTTCTTTCTTTTCTTTTTTTTTTTTTTCGTCATTCGAATGGATAGGGAACGAGGGGGGCAGGGACCGAGCTGCTCATGTGATATGTGCCATCCTCTCTCGGCTGTTCAACACTCCTACCCATCCATTCCTTTCTCGCATCCTCGGTGTTACCATGGCGTTCCTTCATTTTTGTGTATTTTCTATGCTTTAGTTTAAAAACAAAAAAAATGTCCTCCCCTATGGTTTGAAACTTTTAAAGAGAAAAAAAAATAATAAGATTGAAACAAATAACTACCAACTGAGTTGTGTTCTATGGTCTAACTGTTCAAGAAGAATTGATTTATTTTCAGACTGGTTTATGTTTTGTGCTTGTGCTGCTTTTTTTTTTAATTCTCTTATTTTCCCCCTACCTTTTTTTTTTTTTTTCATTTCCTGTGAGAAATAACTCATGTGGAACTTTAAAAAACAACAATTACTTAGGACACACTGCACATAAATGTGAGCTTGCTTTCAGAGGCGCCGCATGTTATCCCCGCCCCTCCCCTCATGAGGGAAAAGAAGGATAGCGATCATCATGCAGATTCTCGCATCTCCTTCGTCTTTTTTTTTTTTTTCTTCTTCTTCCCCCCACTGCTTGGAGATAAAAGCCTCTACAGATTGCTGCATCTGAATCCATTTCAACCATAACCAGTCATAGTAATGCCAGAAAAGAGGATATCTCAAATGCCCAAATGGAATCTCCGTGAGCTCCATTTAGCATCTCTCATGCCTCAAAAAATGCGCTGCTTAGAGTGAAGTATTGATCAGTTTGGCAGCAGCTTCCCCAGTTACTGAGGAAATCTTGTTACCTGAGGAGGTTTTTTTTTCTTCAAGCCAATCAAAGGCATCACCTGATCCAAGAACTTCATCGCGGATTTAAAGATGAGTCCGTCAAACATGCTGGGAGTCTACCACCTCTCTGCTGCTGCTCGCTCTGCCCACCCTGTGTGCTACTAGGAGGCATGAAATCTTAATGCACGCAGGGAAAGCCAGATGTATAATTCCTTGTTCGGCTCTTTGTGGTGGTGATTGCATACCGCGCTTGTGAGCACAGCAGCTGCAAAAAAAAAAAAAGGAGCGCGAAATAGAATGGCATACAGAGGGAGCCACGGAAGTTACAGGGCCACAAGGTGTCAGACTGAAGAGGAGTTGTTGGTGATGTTTCCTGCTTGACATTCTACATCAGCCCTCCAGTCATTACAAGAGGACGACCAGTTTCCACCCCCCCGCTGCTGCTCCTAACATCAGCACCGACGGAGAGAAAGTGCCAGGGCGCAGGACGAATTCGATAGCTAGCTCGATAACTTTTCTACGCTCAAAGCAGCTGCCATTAGTCTAACAGTCTGGAGAAAGAGATGTGAGACAATTAGAAGAAACCGAGAGGAAATGGTAGCCAAGAACAAAGATCCCAAAAATACATCGCCAGAAAGCTAGAGGCAGGCAGAGATGCAGAAGAAGGGGGAGTGCTCAAAACAGTAATTATCCGGGGACGGCGATTTGTCCTGACATTTTCCAATGCAGCCCTCAAACCATCTGTTTAAAGATCCCTAATGTGGTAGTAGAGCAGCACAGCGCAGATGGTGAGACAAGAGTGCAGCCCTTCTAACCTTTCAAGCTAATCAGCTGATAGGCAAACCTACGGCTCGCCCTTTCTCAGAGGAGCGAGATGGGTTTGATCCCAAGTTGCAGAGCTAAGGTCACATTCACCTGACCTTCTGTGAGAGATTCACCATCCAGGCCTACTGCACAGCATCCAGCAGAGCAGAGCAGCCGTCTGCCAGCTCCACAGCCACGCTCAGTAGTAGGTGTTACTCTATAGCGTTTTCTGTTTTTCGGATATATACACACGTGTAGCTGATTGTTTGAAGAGCTCCAAATTAATTTTACACAAAGCCTTGTTCCCATGGTAACTTAAGAACGGGATTAGCAGAAAAAGTATCCAGGTTTGATTTCAGCAGCATATGAGATTATATCGCTTTTTTTTTTTAAATGTTTTGCTCACGGTACAGAACGCTTTCACAGTCAGCCATGGCTGGATTTTTTTCATCTTCAGGAACGGTAAGTGACGGATGGAGATTGAGATGTCCATTTAGCATCTTGCAACGTTTCCTTAAACTCCGGTGTGATGAGCATCGGAGCGTGTTACTATGTCAAGTTGTTTTCCTTTACAGTGTTAAAAAGCCTGCCAAACTCGACGACCCATAAAGAAATACGAAACACACGAAAGACAATTTGAAACTCCGTGTAGAAGCCAACTCAAAAAAAAAAAAAACAACCCTCGATGCTCACCTTCACCCTCCACTCTTCAGCCTTTGATGCTTAAGTGTTAACCAACTTCTCCAAACCATCCGACATTCCAGTTGATTTATTACTGAAAAAAACCCTCCCTTTCTCCTTCATTTTTGTTCTTTTTATACATAAGATTGTACAAAGTAGTCCTCTAATGTTTTCATAGTGTCTTTTTATATGAAAATAAATTTTCAAATTGATCTCGGTGTCTCATATGTGCATGCGCGCTGCTTCAAGGGCGTCTGCGGAGGAGTACGACCGGCCTCATCCTTTATTCGCAGTGCGCTCGCAATCCCATGTTTTCATAATATCATTCTGGGTGTCGGGCATGACAAACTCTGTTACCCAGAAGCATTGAAGCTTTACTGTGACCAATCAGAGGCCCGCTGGTCCGTCTGAAAATGTGAGAGGAACGGTTCCTTGAGTTTGAAGTTGCGTTGCATTGGAATAACCGACGGGGGATATGTCAAGTCAAAGTGATTATTTCATTAAAAATGTCTCAACCTTGAGCAATGTTTATGCTAATAACAATCCTCTTCCAAAATGGAGTTTCCCAGAAATGGTTTTTGTTATGCAACACAGGGAAAACAGCCACAGTGGTCGGGCTTTAATAGTCAACTCAGGGATGCCGGAGTGTAGGAACAAACAGGGGAAGAAGGGGCGGATGACGTAGCGCGCATGCCTAAGTCACTCTGCATTTGCCCTCCAAGGGGCTTGTGGGTAATTAAGTGTGGATGAGTCTGCCCATGGAGCTGCCATCAGTCACCCTGGAGAAAGGCCACCAACTGGAACTTTCTCAAGGGAGTGAGCGGGATGAGAAAGAGGCCAGAGGAGGAAGAAAATAAAGAAGGCAGCCCCAAGGACGAAATGCATGGTGACAGAGTATAAGCAAGGAAGGGGTTTTCACATTACCTCCGGCAGAGGAGTCACAATGATAAGAGTGCCTCGTGGTTATTTTTCCCAAAGGTTTGTGGGTAATTAAGTTATGGTACTGGTGTGTCACTCGTGACCTAAGGAGAGGCCCGGATGACAAATAACACAGGGAGACAAAGTGGAGAGAGGACAGAAAGAAATTTCAGAAGAAATTTTTTAACTTGACTGAGGCTGTGTCCACCAGGTTCCTCCTGTCAGAGCTGACTTCTGCTTGATATTTACAATAAAGACAGGACACGCTACTGCATGCCCCTGACAGCGCTGAGAGATTAGCCTGCTTTAGCGCTCAGAAGTCCTGAAAGTTTAATATTGCTGACAAAACAAAAGAGCAACGCAAAGAGTTGTACTTTTGAACAGTGACACAGCAGCAATGGCCTGCAGGGTGTGTGTCAGAGTCTTGTTTCAAAAAGTTTTGTGTTGTTTTTATGGTGTTCACACGGAGCATAGTCTTAAATAAACCTGTGATTCCTGGTTTTTCCCACAGACTGATGCAGGAAACCATGTGGTGTGAGTCCAGCGTAGACCATACTGCTTGGTCTCTGGGTAGATATGCAAATATAACATTATATATACTTATACTGGCCCTGTGATAGACTGGTGACCTGTCCAGGGTGTCCCCTGCCTTCACCCTAAGTCAGCTGGGATAGGCTCCAGCCCCCCCGCGACCCTAATGAGGATTAAGCGGTGTATAGATAATGGATGGATGGATATACTTATACTATGCGTGTCTCACAGAACAATGACAATGTGCGAGTTTATTTAGAATTAATTATTTAAAATTATATTGATTTACTCATATTTTGGCTTTGTGTTGTTTTATTCTATAGATGGTATTGACATTTTCAATATTGTTTTTTTTTCCTCCCCCATTATTTTTTCTTTTTAATTTAGTCAAGCCTGCGTTTTGTAATTGTTGACACCTGTGGTTGGCGAGTGGCTGATTGTTCATTTGGAAATGCATATTTTTCCTGCCTTGGGTTTCAGCCAAGTGTTTTCTGGCTCCATCACCTGCTGCAGATTGTAATTGTTCTGAGAGATGCATACACGTATATTTATTATTTTAATATGATGTGATATCTGCTGTCTATGTCTGAAGAAGATGTGTCCAATTAGGCTCAATGAGTTTTCCCCTTTGT